TAAAATAAATAGGTACAAATAAATTCAGATAAAATTCTTAAAATGCACTGTACAGCAACCATGACCCATCATCCAAGCATAAATAAAATAAGATCGCAAAATTTTTTATTATACTTTTTCTTGACTTACTCTTCTGTTGATGGTATTCTAAGCTGATTTTGTATCTTGAATATTCTAAAAAAATGCTACAATAAATATGGATGTACAAGTCCATGGTCTGCTGACTTATGTATGACTTATGCTGACTTCAGGATGATCACAGGAGAGGTGTAGACAGATCATACAATAGATCTACTTTTAGTGATTGAAGCAGCTATATACTGTTTCCATGGTGATGGCTTTGGTTTGCACTCACACGGGAACTCTGCATGAGATCTTTCCCTCCTACATGCTTAACAATTTTTGGTCTTTTTAAATGATATCTATTCTCCCTGGAATAATAGAATCTCAAGTAGTTTTTAATTTTTTTTTATTTTATGTGTATATTTGAGTACCTTCATGTATGTATGTATGTATGTATGTATGTATGTGCACCATGTGCATGCAGTGCCCACACAGGTCAGAAGAGGGTGTCAGGTCTTTAAGTGGAGCTACAGGTGGCTTTGAGCTGCCATGTGGTTGTTAGGAACTGAACCCAGGTCTTCAGCAAGCAGCAGTAGACTTCCCAGTGTCAGGACCTCACTCTTAGCAGATGAGCCATCTCTCCAGGCACCTCAGTGAAGTTCGTTTTGGTTTGCATTTTCCTGATAACTAAGGATATGGAATATGATGAGATATGCGAACAGAATACTTTGTGGGAAAATAATGAAGCAGGAAAGGAAGAGATGATCACCAAGGCCTCGATGATCACACACTGCAGCACTCTCGCACTAAGAAGCAAGCCTCCAAGTTAAACACTTGAACAGCAAGTGACATCTAGCCTTGAAACTGATGCACAGAAACATTTATATTATGCCACTACACAAAAAACACCTTTAAGCCAGGTGTGGTGGTTCACGCCTTTAATCCCAGCACTTAGGAGGCACAGGCAGGTGGATGTCTGTGAGTTCAAGCCCAGCCTGGGCTACACAGTGAGTTCCAGGCCAGCTGGGGCTACAGGGAGACCCTGTATCAAATAAAAAAAATACCAAAAATAAAATCACCTTTAGTACTTCTTATGTTAACAAACTTTTAACAAAGACCCATGAGTCTCTTTCAAAAGAGATTTTATAGTTCCACAAAATGATGATGGTCACCAGTTGATCAAAATTGAAATGTCTTACTGAGATCATCTTAACATGTGTTCCCTCTCTTCTCAATGCTTCTCTTATCTTACACATGAAGTTCAAGGATCTCCTGTGATCTGCACAAACTGAGGCCCAGTTAGCTCGGCCCGCACCCCATCCTCCTCTGTAGCTTACAGAAACTCTTCAGTGCACACTGCCAAACGGAGTCCGACGGCGGGGTCTGGTGATGTCCTTTCCACCCCTTCACCAGACCTTCCCTCTCCCTCCTGGGTTCCACCAGACTGACTGCTGTCAGTCCTTCGGGACTCTGCTGTCCTACCCAGCACGGAGCACTGCCTTTCCCCTCACCTGCACACACTACTTTATTTTCCAGAGAGCAGCAGTAAACTTCCCCAAGCCAGGCAGACAGCATCAGAGAAAACAGTCACCAGAGCATGGAGACAAGTCTTGTACTGTATCCTAATATGGTGGTTATGTGCTAACTGTAGATCTGTCAGTTAAAATTTATGAATTTTATCAATATGAGTTCATGAAGATGATTTCTCCCTGAATTTTTGAAGAGAATTTCTCTCTGACCTTAATAAAATGATGAAACATTTGGGGGCAAAGATGCAAATGAGGAGGCTGGAGGCCAAGATGGAGAAGACCTCCACAGCCACCATGACCTTCCCCTTGGTGCTGTGGTAGACAGGGAGGAAGGTGACCCAGACACTGCAGAACACCAGCATGCTGAAGGTCAGGAACTCGGCTTCGCTGAATGTGTCAGGCAGGTTTCTGGCCATGAAAGCCACAGAGAAGGTTCCCAAGGCCAGGGAGCCCAGGTATCCCAGGACACAGTAGAAGACAGTGACTGAGCCTTTGTTACACACAATGGTGATGTGTTCTCGCTCAGATTGTGGATCAATGACAATAAAGGGAGGAGAAGTTCCCATCCAGGCTCCACAGAGAATAAGCTGGATCAGGGTGCAGATGGGAATGATGTAGCTAGGTGTCCCTGACACCAACAAGCCCCTCAGCCTTCTTCCTGGAGCAGTGAACTTGAAGGCCAGAACCACAGTAATAGTTTTGGCCAAGACAGTGGAAACAGCCACGGTGAATGCAAGTCCAAATGTGGTCTGCTGCAGGATGCAGGTGACGGTGTTGGAATGGCCAATGAAGAGCAAGGAGCAGAGAAAACAGAAGGTGAGGGAGAGGAGCAGGATGTAGCTGGGAGTCTGATTATTGGCCTTCACAATGGTAGTGTCTAGGTGTTTCACAAAAACTCCAAGTATAACAACTGTGAGTGCAGTTAAGAATAAGGCTGTGCAGGCCAGAGCCATCCCCAAGGGGTCTTCATAAGCCAGATAGGTCACAGCTCTCTGGAAGCAGTGATCTCTCTCTGCAGTGTACTTGTCATCTGGACAGTTCAGGCACTCAATCATGTCTGCTGGAGAAAGGAAAGCATGACCCAGGCTTAGCTTTTCTTGTTGACAGGATACTTCCCGAGAGTTGGGGAGGGCTTTGCAAAATTTACATTGTTTGTTGTTATAAACACAGTTAAAGATGATCACTGTTTGGTAATATTTCTGACTTAAAATACCAGTCATCTTTATGGTCAGGTGTGGGAGACAAGCTTGAGCCTAGGGTGATATTGCAACTGTCAGGGTCAAGTGGCTTCCAGGAATCCAGTCTCTGTAATCTGAAACCCAGTATGCTAATGAGGCATCCTACCCTCTATTCTGTGATAAGACGTTAAGTCCGTTATGCTAATAGGATGATACTAATAAGGTATCCTACTTCCTCTACTGTGATAGGATGCTAAACCTGTTATGCTAATGAGGTATCCTACTTGCTGTGCTGTGATTGGACCACTACCCCTATATAAGCTTGTGCCTTCCTGCAATAAAGCAGACCTGTGTCACTGAACCTGGTCTCCTGTGTCTGAATGCAGATCCACTAACACAGTCTCCTCACCAGCCCTGGGGTCCAGGACCAGGCAGAAGTAGTGACGACAGGAGGCAGCACAGGGCAAGCAAAAGAGCTGCCTCGGCACCAGGCGAGCAGAAGAGTGGCCTCAGCCCAGGGTGAGTGGAGGAGCAGCCTCAATGCCCATGAGAATGAAGGAGCGGCACCCACGAGAATGGAGGAGTGGCCACCGCTGGCGGTGACCGCAGTCAGGGACATGAATTATTTATTCTTATTTATCTTACATGTTCATGAGATATTATCTTGCATGAAAGCAAATTTAGCTCACTCAGTACATTTAAGATGTTATGATAAAACAGCTTAGACTGGGTAATTCACTGAAGTCTAAATTTATTAATCTCAGTTCTGTTGACTGTGAAGTTCAACATCACAGAGCCCATGGATTCAAAGTCCAACACATTCCGTGTGCCTCGGGAGTGGTATCCTATAGCCATGTCCTCATGGGACACATACAAGTCCCCCTGGATTCTTGTTCATTGGGGACAATAATCTTATTAATGAAAGTAAAGACCTCAGAAGTATTCAAATTAAATAGATGATTCTGCTGTTAAATACACAGCTAAGATTGGATACTCTAAAATCAGTCACATCCAAAGTCATCTCTATCTTTCATCACATACATGCAGTATTTAATTTGAAAAATTACTGGCAAAATTTATATCAATATGAACAGCTCTCCACCAAGGGGATAAAACTAGACAAATCCTTGTTTGTTTCAATGACCTAAGCAAGACATAATTGTACATAATGAAACTAATCATGTCACATGCTACTTAAATAATAATTTAAAAGAATACTAATACTGAGCTATGTTCCCAACTTTATGGTCTGGAATCTTTTCAAGGTAAGTCTTGAAAGATGAATTATCCCCTTCATTCTCTGTCTGATTCTATCAAGCATCTCTGTCCCTGGCTCTTATAACTCTATAGGAAGGTTCATCACAGAGCTGGGACTTGTGCAAATGTCAAGTATTCATTTTGCAATGTTATACCAGGTTTGGACTAACAGAAGACCTATGCTAAGATCCATCACCACCCTCTTCCAAAGAACTGCCCTATATTTATGTCATGTTATCTGCAGTCTGAATCACATAAGGAGGCTTCTCAACCACACTCCTCTGTACACTTCTCAGCTGGTGATGTGTATTCTAGAATAACAATAAGGAAACAATTCTTCTTACTGGAAAGTAGAAATAAGACATCACACATAGACTAGAGAGCCGATTCCCAGTAACTATGGGTTCTGTAATAAGCATAAGCAATAGAAGAAACCAATGATATATGTGAATAAATCATCAAGATATTGATCTATAGAGGCTGAAGAGCAGGGACTAAGCACATACTGTGCTTACTTTCTTCATAGATACTGAGGGACTGAATGGGTAATTTTGGAGTCATCATGAATTGTAGAATTTCTAGTGTTGCCATGGTGTAATCCAAAAGTTCCACTGAAAATCTAGAATTTTGTGGGGTGGGGAGGTCTAGAGACCTACACTTCGAAACATGGAGATCACTGGGAAAAGAGGTGGAGCCATCACCATATTGGACACAGGGAATGGAGCCTCAAACCTGATAGACACCGTGGGCAGGATGCACTGATGGTAGGCATTTCAAATATAAGACTATTCATGCCTTTGTAAGTCACCCTTTCCTGGATGTCATATAAACCAGGCAAAACCCAAATAAAATGTATTATGTAGGTTTTGTCCATCCGTGTCAGGACTGAGAGACCCTGAGTGAGTGTGGGTCTCTCAGAGGAGAGGAGAAAATTTAGTGCAACACATGGCTATTGGTTTTTACACAATGGGAACCACAGTTCTTAGACAGGTATTCTGTACATTAGATTGGTGTGCAGTAGTACATGGGACATACAGTGAATGCTCAATGGTTGGATGCTGTATATGTGAGGCTGCCTCTCCCTTACTTGGACTGTGGGGATAGAATGCCCTGTGTCCAAGAGTGGGTTTCAACCACACTCTTAATGTCCAGTAAGTGCCGTCTTCATCTCTTCTATGAATCACGATGACTCCAAAATTACCCATTCAGTCCCTCAGACATGAAAAAGATCCATCCCTGGCTGGCAAGGGTCCTTCTGGAGTTTTCACATATTTTTTGGATCTCCTGATACAATCCACTTACATCACTTCAAATGGTGTTCAGATAAACAGCTTGTTGACACTGGGCCAAATCTACCCAACAAGTGTTCCTCTCGGGCTTGAATGTCTGTGGGTGGCAGTGACATCATGGCACCCGAGGCTGAGCCGATTCTCAAACATATTTTTCCAACTTATGTTTATCACCTGGACTAAGGACCTCAGCTGCAGAGCCCCAGGGTAGAGAGTGTCCCAGATTCCTCCAGGGGAGAGGAGCCACCTGGAAAGAAACAAAGGAGGAGTGTGGGTGGCCGCCACTCACCAATAGCAGTAAAAGCAGATATGTACATGTACAGGTGTGCCTGTCTGGTATGTTTATCTTTACAGCATCTCACAATCCACCCTGCTTAACCTTAGAGCGTTGCAGACATGAAACAGACGCTCACTTTGAGTTTTCTCTTTTTCCTCCCAAAGATTCACCTCCTTGTATCCGGTTTCACTGAGCCCAGGTGCTTTTGGAGCCTGAAAAATAACGAAGACAAGGATGGAGATGTGATGAACGACAGTGCCAACACCGTCAGTGCAGAACACAAACCCATGGAGAGAGAATATTTCAACCACACTCTTAATGGCCAGTAACTGCCGTCTTCATTTCTTCATTTTCTGATTATCATCACGAAAGGTACAAAAGAGGTCTGTGTAGAAGATCAGCATTCTGTCTTCCATTTAACCTCCCACTCACGAGTTGAGTGAAGACAGCACTCTGCCTTGATCCATCATAGACATCCCTCCTCATGACATGCAGCATGGTACCGCATCCAGTGATGCGCCAGTTAAGCAAACTCCAAGCCTATGGAATGAGGTCAGTGCTGACAGGCCTCTCAAGGGTCCTTCAAGGGTCTGCTAATGTTCCCTCCATCAGCATGCAATTCTTTAATGCCTACACAGGGGCCATGAATGATTGTGTGGCTCCTAATTGGGTAAATGTGTCACAGATATTTAGTTATTTCCAAATATTCTGTGGAGGATCACTTCATGTCCTCTGAAGCTGCCATTGAAGACAGGACCAAGAGATCTGCTGACCTTGCAATTTTCACTGATTTCCGGTAGATTCTAGTTTACTTGGACCTATGCACAGGCACAGGTTTTAGGAACTACAAGTGTCATACCTTTACTTGACAGTCTGTTCAATAAGTCATCTAGGGCATTCCAACAAAATCTTTGTAGTCCTGTGAGAAGAGGTAATATCACTAAGAGTACTGACTGTTAACCTCCCTTTCCATTTGCTACAGTGACAGGTTTTGTCTGTAGTAGTTTCCAACATTAGAGTACAGATGGAAGGTTTACAAAGTGGGTCATCTTTCCCATTCTTAAAGATACCTACTTATACTTTTCTCCTGTTTACATTTTTGCTTATTTTATATCTCTTGACATTTATACTGCATTTACCTCTATTTTCTCTTTTCAGTGATTTTATTAAGTTTATTTGTATACTGTATAAAAAGTTTTAAAGGGGCTGGAGAGATGGCTCAGTGTTTAAGAGCACTAGCTGCTCTTGCAGAAGACCCAGGTTCAAATCTCAGAACTCACATGGTGGTTAACAACCATCCATAAATTCAGTTCCAGTAGATCCAACACCCTCTTCTGGGTGTACTTACATACACACAGGGATGGCACTCATATACATAAAATAAATTTCAAAAAATCAAGCCAGGCATGGTGGCATATGCCTTTAATTCCAGCACTCGGAAGGCAGAGGCAGGTGGGTCTATGTGAGTTCAAGGCCAGCCTGGTCTACTTAGTGAGTTCCAGGCCAGTTGGGGTTATAGGGAGACCCTGTCTCAAAAAGATGAAAAAAACAACAATTTTTAAAATATTTTATTATACTTATTTTATGTATATGAGTGTATTGCCTGCATGTATGCAAGTGCACCTGTGCTGTAGAATGCCTGCAAATTTCAGAAGAAGGTGTCAGATCCCTTAGAACTAGATAGTTGTTAGCCTCCATGTGGGTGCTTAGAAACAAACCCTGGTCCTCTGCAAGAGCAGCTAGTGCCCTTAACTGCTGAGTCATCTCTCTAGCCTCTTATCTGCTATATCTAATTGCATAGACTCACACAAAGACACTAAATAATTCTGTTGGTCAGAATCTATAGATATCTTCATTTTATGACAGGAGGTGGTACTGTGATGCTTCCTGTTGCCAGTATCAGGCTGGGTGGGGAGTGGGAAGTGCAAAGTGGGAAGTATCCAAAGCAGCTTCTATGGGGAGTGTGATGCTGACATGCCCACCATATCCCATATTTGTGACTTATAGAAAAGTAGAATTTGTGGAAATGACTTTTCTGGGAATGCATCTCATAA